CTTAATGCATTGCATAAAGATCGGATCGGGAAAAATCGGTATCGGAAAATTGTTAAAATCAAATGATCGGAATCGGATCGGGAGCAAAAAAAGGTGATCGGGACATCCCTAACGAGTATTAAAAAGAGAGAGGTGGATGCAGAATGTCGGACTCTCCAGGAGGAACGGACGAATGGTGATGTTCACCTGGTTCTGCTGTGTGGTTCTGTTCACTCATGGTGAAGATTAGTATCCAGTGTTCCTCAGTTTGTTGCCTTTAAGTTTTCATTACATTCCTGGAATTCAAGGAACCTGCTATGAGAGTCTGCAGTTTGGTCCTTACGCCTTTTACACACTCTCTCCAAAGCATAACAAAAAAAAACATTGAAAATAAAACAGAAAGATATCTGGATTCAGAGGTTGCTTTTTCTTTGAAAGGCCAAATGAATGGGCTGTGAGTTTAGTTTTTCTTAGCAGAGGCTGAGTTCAATCATTTGTACGGCCCCCGGAGGATGTTGTGGAAATTGAAATGGCCCTTGAGAGGAAAAATGTTCCCCACCCCCGGTTTAGCATGAAACACTTGAAATAACTAAAGGACAAGTTAAACAACAAAGTAGAAAGAAAGTGAGGTGAGAAAACTATTTCTGCTAAAAAGTGAGCAATGATTGAGTCAGAGTTAAACATTTGAGATGTGTGTATCTCACACTGTACTGTCACTTTAACGGCCCCTACACACGGCGGCGTGCGTTGCCGCTTCAACGCTTCTGCCCATTCACTTTGAATGGGGTGACGTCACGATTCGCCGAACTGCATTGTGGGAGCAAAGCGTAGCTTCTCTCGCGGTACTCGCTGCAAAAGTCGACGGAGGCGAATCATATGCCAGTGCAAGCTCTAGCCAATAAAACCGCGTGATTGTTTGTCTGGGGCGGGAGATTCATGTGATTGGTTGTTGGTCGAGTTTCAGCCCCCCCCCGCCGGCGAGCGACAACGCACGCCGCCGTGTGTAGGAGCCGTAATTCATGTACCTTTGCTTTTAAATGAGTGTTTTTAAATGCCATTTTATAATATAATGTCTTTCATTTTTGTAAAGCACTTTGAATTGCCTTGTGTTGAAAGGTGCTTTATAAATAAACGTGCCTTGCCTTGTAAATAATAGAAGTATCTTAGTGATGTTTCTCAAGATGCCTTTCTCCATTTCTCTGTTTTGGTTGTTTTTTTAGTTACTTACATTTTAACATCGCAGGATTTCTCGTGGTTGCAGAAGGGGCAGGTGAACTGGACGTCCAGGTTCCCGGTCATTTTCTTCTTGGGAGGAGGCTTTCTCTTCGACTTCCTGCGCCCCATTTCTAATGCTGTTTATCTGCAGTGAAAAACACAAAAAGAAATGTTGAATTATAGTTCCTTTAAGCTTTCCAAGAAGCCAAAGCACTCAAGTGTTTCATGTGCAAACCTGTGTGTTTGTTGTTGAACTATTGGGAAGTTCCATTGCCAAGTATTGCATTGTGGGTGGGAACAGGATTTATTTGACTTGTTTAAGATAAGATAAGATGGAGCTTTATTAATCCCTGTGTGTTCAGTAGTTTAGCAGCAACAGGGTGAGAAGGAAAAACAGCACAGATTCACATAAGATGAATTCAATGATATAGAGGTAAGTAACTGTTCAAATAAGAAATTAATTAAATGAACATTTATACATATTTGAGTCCAGATTGTTAAAGATATTGACATGTACAGTATGTGTGCCGGTAAAAAGTTATTGTGAAAAGTTTACCAAACATACTAATAAACCATATAAATATAGACAGTTTTAAACCACAACATAGTGTGTTATGCCCTGTCATTTATACATAGCATTTTTGTTAGAAGGATTCATTTTCAGATCAAATCTCAGTAGTATTTGTTTACAACAGTCAAATGCTGCTTGATGATACTATATTAACAGTCTAATAATGCCATATACAGTGTATATAATAATATGCCACTTATGGAGTTGTTTAAATTGTTTACTAAGTATATTTTTCTGACAATACTTCTGTCTTCTTTACTTACTTAAGTGACGTTTATTTCATGTTACTTTTACTTGTAATTAAGTATGTTAACATTATATTTTTGGGAACTTTTACTTATGTATAGGACCTGAATACTTCTTCCACCACTGTAGATTTTTTTTAAATGATCCACACATTATTTTTTTAGAATAACAGCTTGCTTTTATGATCATCTGCCTCATGCAAATATGTGCAGTATTGTTATGGAAAATGGAAAGCTGTGCAGATTGTAAGAGAGGTAGCTTTTGTACAGATGTGCAAAAATGTCTCTAGCTATTTTAACGGATTTTATTTTAAAGTAACCAGTGCATTTATTACAGCCACTTTCTCCATTTACCGGACAAATATCGGCCAAAAAAAACTACGGCGAACAGGATGAGGAAAAAAACATTGAAGCGCCAAAAAGCTACAAGCTAAGAAAGCTAACTCGCTAGCATTGACTAACCTCTGGGAGGAGACACTCTGTGACTCAATAAGAAGCTTATAATAAACGACTTTGCTTGTAAGAACTACGTGAGTGTTTGGTGTGTTGTTGGTTGTGTTATTTCTTATTTCGGGATGATGTGAGTGTTGTTTTTCTCACCAAAAGGATGTCTTGTAACGGAGGATGCTCTGTATTCAATTTCATCCGGCTACTACGCATCATCTCTTTGGGACTGCGTCTGATTGGTTACTGGGAGATCATGACCGGTTCTGATTGGCTCTTTAAAAAAGTTGACTGACAGCGTTGGTATCCAATAGAGGACCATGATTTCTAAATTAACTCCCGCCTCCATTACATATTTTTGAATGATTAAATTAAACTAGACAGATAGATAGATAGATAGATAGATAGATAGATGGATGGATGGATGGATAGATAGATAGATAGATAAATAGATAGATAGATAGATAAATAGATAGATAGATAGATAGATAGATAGATAGACAGACAGACAGATAGATAGATAGATAGATAGATAGATAGATAGATAGATAGATAGATAGATAGATAGATAGATAGATACTTTATTGATCCCAATTTGGGAAATGTTTGCGTTGCAGCAGCATAAAAAAGGCAATGTATATAACAGAAATTGAGACACAAGAAATAAACAGTCCAAAATATTTCTGAAATATAAATAACATAGCATTAAAAAGTTAAAAAATAAGATATTAAATTCAATTATATGTGCCAATTGAAACATGTACATATAATCCAGTTGATGGTGCTCTTGAATGTCATATTAATTCAAATGTTCGATATGCACAATTTGTTTGTAATTGTCTTTTAATATTTCCCTTTCTTTGCTCTTCACATGTGTTTGAAGCACATCAATGTGCTGCTATTTTCTAGTTTTGGGGGTTTTTGTACAGTATTTATATATTAATCATTCTTGGTAAGAAAGTAAAACCAAAGGGAGGGTCAGACTGTGAAAGTAAAAATCCACTACAAACTCGGTGGTTGCTCGAAACGATATGCAATATGAATTCTAAAGGATCTCATTGGCCCGTCTCGTATCGAGGGGCGGGGCTTAATGACATAACAACATGAGAGAGGAAGTGTCTCGGCTGAACTTTGTGTCATTGCT